CACCAGCCCGACTCGAACTGTTGACCTTGTCTGTGGGGGTTTGGGAGCTTAACCAATAAGCTACGGGGCCCAAACCCGTTTTTAGTTTTTTTCTTTTCATCTTCATAATCTTTTTTTTTAGATATATACTATTGTTGTAGTTATTTTGAAGTTATTGCTATTAGAATTATTACAATGTGATTTTATTTTTTTGATACTACTTTTTTTTAGGTTTTTTTTCTCTTTTTCTAGATTTTTTTAATTAATATTTTTTTTTGTGTTGCTTTAGATTGTAATTGAAGTTGCTATATTAATTAAAACTGCAGATAGTTTTTAATTTAAAAGTGAGTAAGCTTTTAGTTTTAATAGCAGGTAGACTAGTATTTTCAATAGAAAGTGAGTTAGTGTTTTTAATAGCAGGTGAGTTAGTGTTTTTAATAATAGGTGGGTTAGTGTTTAAATAACAGGTTGGTGATAAATTAAATAGTAATTAAGTTAATGCACAAAAGAGTTAAGTTTTTTTTTGTTATTTTGTTTTGTTTCTAGCTAACTTTTATTTTTATTCTATGTATAATTTCATCATTAATATTATCATATTGTTATTATATTCAATATTTCATGATTTTAATAACAGGTGGATTAGTGGTTTCAATAGTATGTAAATTAGTAAATTAAATAGCAGATGGGTTAATAATTTTATTAGTAGGTGAATTAGTTATTTTAACAGCAGGTGGGTTAATGGTTTTTTTTAATTTTAATTTTATTTTTTTTAGATTATTAGAGCTATTATAGTCAAGTCTTCTAAAGTAAGCTTTGTTTATAGATTGTTCATAATTTAATAGTAAATAGGATATTGATTTTAATATCTTGTAAGTTAAATATTTTATAATAATTGAAGGTATCTATAATATTTATTCTTTGTTTTTATATACATATTAATTTTTTTTTAATTCTTTAGGCCTAGATTCACTTTTTGAATTAGTCTTTAGAATAAGTATTAGCTTTTTTAGTTTATTTTTTATTAATTTTATTCATTGAAACTAATTTCTTTTTTTTAGTTATTATTTTATTTAATAATAAGATCAGAAGCAAAATAAAATAGCTTTAAAATAAGTATTAACTATCTTTTTTTTTTTTTTTTTTTTAGATTGTAGTTCTAAATATTTTCTTTATATATTTTATTTAAAAATGGTGGCTAAATGCAAAATTAACTCAGACTATTATTAAAATAAGTAAAATAAATTTTTTTTAATAATTAGTTTATTTTTTAATTATAAAACTAACCTTTTTTTTAAATTTTTTTCAAATACAGTTTTGTTATTAGTGTTATTATTTGAAATAGTGTAAAATTTAATTAGAATTGTCTTTAAAATAAGTTTTTTTTATTAGTTTTTTTTTTCAGTTATCAAAACTAACTTTTTTTATAGATGTTTTTTCTAAAGTAATCTTTTCATTAGTGTTGTTATTAGTGCTATCTTTGTTAATACTATTGTTAATATTATTTTAATTGAAGTTATTAGAGTTGCTATTATTAGATTTGATATAAAATCTGTTAAAAGTTTATGTTTTTTATTTTAGTTTTGATTAGCTTATATAAATTTTAATTTTTGTTGTGATAGTATGATTTTATAATTTTGTTATTATATTAATATTATAATTTTATTGTTTTTTAATACTGTAATAAATTAGATTGTAGCATTTAGTAAAGTTGGTAAGTTGTCATATTTCCAAGTGGCAGGACAAGAGTTTGAATCCTACTGATAATGAAATTTAAATTTTACAAAATATATTATAGCAGATTATATATAATTTGACAGATTAGCATCTGTAATTTTGGTCATATCAGCTTGTACTAAAAGGCTGTAAAACATTAGTATGACGTATGAGCTGTACAAAACTAGAGTAAAACAGCCAAGTCAATTCAAAAATTAGAATATATGAAAACCTGCTTGGCAAATTCTGAGTAGAAAGAAATACAGATCTTTGACAGTACTATGTAAAAGATTATCTAAGAGATCTAGACACTAATTTTAGTGATCTGGATGAGAACTGAGTATTTGGCAAAATACTATACCAACCAGGCTGCCAGATGTATAATTAAAAAAAAGACTCAATCATAAAAACCAGAAGCAGATCACAGCTCCTCTAAGCTATCTGAATTAAAAGTTTGGAGTAATAGTCTATATAGTAAATACTAAGGTTTAAATAAACTTTATAAGAGCAGAAGTAAGTAATGGTAGCAGCTTCAGTTTGCAAATACTTATTTTCAGACTCGACGTAAGTTATAGAAGTTTAAGTTAGCCAATTGTAAGTATAAAAAGCTTTAGCTAATAACGTCTCAAAAATAGATTAATTTTAAGAGTTCTAGAAAAGTATTCAAGGTTTCTTAACTAACAATTATAATAGAAATGCACTGATAATATATTACAGAGAGTTTAAATAGACAATTCACTAGTTGAGTTATAGATATAACAAATAGTATAGAATCTATAGATAATACTAATATACAGACTACTTAAATAGGCAATCAAAAGTTATATATGTGACTAGCTATACTCTCTAATATAGGAGTTTTACAAGAACCTCTGCCTATATACTTGAATAAATACCTCAGTTCAAAAAGGCTAGTTATAAAATATAAAAAAAATACTATAATAAATTAATGCTAAAATAAATTAATTTAAGTATCTCTTAAACTGTATTTCAGGCAAATTTGTCTGGAAAATTTAATTGTATTTAGTATTTTTTAAATAAAATAATAATTTATTAATAATATGGGATATATATTTATTATAGAATATATTCTTAAAAGCAGTAGCATTAAAAAACATAAAAAACCTAATATGGGATAGTAAAAAACCAGATTGGTCTTTATGGATAAGATGTAAAGTTAAAACAGATTTAAATGGCAGTACTGACAAGGCGGGTAGTCACCAGCCTGTGACCGAAAGGATCAAATCCTTAGTGAGTTAAGGATCCGAAGGGAGGCCAAGGACTACTGAGGCAGGTGCACCTGGGCATAAGCTGAGGGTGAGTCTCTAGTTTGGTTAGATTAGCAATAGCTACTGTTACTGGCAAATCCACGTGCACCAGGAATCTAAGAATAATGCAGAACTCTGCACGTTGGACGCACAAATCCATTACACAAGCGCCGTTGTACTGCAGTACTCCAGGACCCGCATTTTCACCTGACAATCATATGCAAGAAACCTGCTCAAGCCAAGACCACCATTAAAGTGATGATTGTATGGAAGCAAAGCTCCATCAACGATTCCATTGAAGCCAGAGACACTTACCCGATTCGGTATGACAGCTGTCAAGGTAATATTACCTTGTTGGATAAGGTGTGTGGCTGTAAAAGTAAGAAGCATATGGGTTGCTTGAAGAGTCAAGGAATAAATCAATGGACTTAATGGATAAAGAATGATGACGGCATAGAAGCCTTCATTGAACTCGCCTTCTTTTTTGCCTTCTCTTTTGATTCTGTCAAAGCTTCAATGAAAATGGCTGTGAGTAAGGGTTGGGAATTAGACCAGAAAAGAATCAAATGGCTTGAGTCAATAACGACTCAATGACAATCAATGGGAGGAGATGTTCGATCTTGTTCTATTTCTTGCCCTGTAATTTCGCTATAAATAAGAGGAAGAAATTCCTCTTGTAAAAGTAGGTAGTACCTTTTGAATTAATACTTCACCGACCCTAGTATGTACAATTCGTTCTATATAAAATTTGTTAATAAAGTCCACTAATAAACTCAAACTTAAAATGTTCGTTAAAAACTGCATTAAATTACCTGCATACCAATACTTAGTAGGCATCTTAGACTGTGCCCAAATCGTTATCTGCCTCACTCTCTACTAAGTGTGGTTATTCTTAGTCTTACCTATTTCACCTAACGACTGGCTGTCGTTTCCTTTTTGTTTGTGAGTGTGTGTGTTGGTCACTTGCCTGCTAACATTTTTGGTGGTGACTGTGAGATTGAACGCTAAAAAAAAAAAAAAAAGAAGAGACTGGTAGATCGTAAATCCCCAAGCAGCTGGGCTGTGAAGATTCGATTATCCTGATTGTGAGGAACGAAGCTATTACAATGATAACCCCCGATGTTTTCCATGAAATTGTTTTTTTTTTTTTTTGAATTATTGTATTTTTGAAAAGGACCAACGTACCGTGTCCGAACCGAATTGAAGTTTCTTTATGAACTGACGGACTGTGTTCACTTGTGATAGTCTTGTTTTGTATGTTGTTTCGTACTAACGAAGATTGAGAATTCTGTCTTGTTTTCCCCCTTTTGTTATATGTTGTCGTATTGTGTCTTGTCTCTATAAGCCTTAAATAACTGCCAAAATCAGTAAAACACAGAAGCTAAAAAAAAGGCAGTAAAAACAAACAGGATCTGCTAAAATAAAAAAATAAATAAATAAATAAATAAATAAAAAAATAAAAATTAAAAATTAAAAAAAAATAAAAAAATAAATAAAATAATAAAATAAAATAAAATAAAAATATGAAAACCGAATCAGAGGAAATATCTGACGAGCTTGAACGATTAAACGAATTAACCAAAAAGTTTATCGAAGTACTTACCGCCCGTATTCAAGCATCTTCAAGGCCCGATCAACGTATAAAAATTACCAACCTGCCCCCGTCTACTATGCATACGAAGATGAGTACTGGACTTACGGTAAGGCACCTGCAGGAACCTCTGCTTGTTATAATCCATCGAACCAGAAGAGGTATCTACACGAAGGCTCCTGTTGGAAGAAAGATCCTAATCCCGATGCCTATTATACGTATGAAGAAAAAGAATATGCGCGAATTAAAGAAAAAAGTGAAAGTGCTGAAAGATATAAAAAGAAATCCGCCGAAATCAAATGCTTTGACAAAGTATATAACCTTGGTCCTTATTATAAAAAAGGGAATGAAGCTGAAAAGGACGAATGCCAGTCATCCGTTTATTATCAGAAATCATCAGAGATAGGAAGCGCTAATGGAACATACCTGGTTGGACCCTGCTATGAAATTGGAGTTAAAAAGGTCAAGGAAAAAGAATCAGAAATTGAAAAGGAACCCCTGAAATCGTACCTGAAGCTGGTAACGACGGATGCTGATAACAAAATAAAAGCCTGGGAGAATTGCTGCCGAATTGAAATTGAGGTCGAAAAGGATAAAGGATGGTGTTTGAAACTCACCGAAGGTGAAAAGCTGGGTGGAATTGAAGTCGAAAAGAACGAAAATGATGGAATTAGAGTTGAAAAGAGCCAACCCAAGGCCCCCACCTACCAAGAATTAGCGGAAATGGGTCAAAAAGATAGTGACCAAGAGCCGAATATCTTCAGTGATCGTCTCTGCGACGAATTAAATCTGTACAAAAATCCTTGGCACGACCACGAAAGTCCTATAGTGCATCTCCCCGATGCTAAGGATTGTACCATCGACAAAATTGACGTTAGAATCTGCTACCAAAACAGAATTGGTATTGAAAAGAATGAACACGATACATTCGTTTATTACCAAAAGTCCGCAGATATGGGTGATGCTAATAGAATACGTCTAATCGAACATGGCTATGAGAAAGAAATTGGAGCTAAAAAGATTGAAGTAGATGCTATTAGTAAGTCAGAACGACATGAATTGGATCAGAAGAAGGAAGAGGAAATACGAAACTTATCTACAAGTCTTAAAGACATCAACAATGATGAAACTGATGACTAAAGTGATCGTGAGACGTTGGTTGGTGACGATTGGAGTAATGAAAAAGTAAATAGCGACCTACCCGAACGAACCTTGGAAAAAGAAGCCTTGCATCGAGAATGCAAAAAATGGTTGAAGAAAGTTAATGAATTCTGGAAGATCATGTGTGCAATAGAAAGACTCACCGAAATGGAGCCTGCCGGAAGAATGTTTCAAAGAATTGGTGCCAAAACGGATGAATCATGTGGATGATATCAGAAAGACGCTGAAGATGACAAATCGGATGGACAATTCGACCCCAGTGGACCTTGTTACCGGAATGAGCGCCGTCTTGAAAATGAGAATTTTCCCCCTGAACAATTCCGTGGTTATAATGCTTCCCCTGGTCAAGTTATACGAAAATCTGCGAAAATGGGCATAAAACGAAAGAAACCGCCGCTGGATGAATACATCATAGAAATCAAGATTCAGAGAAGCCTGCCTGATAAAAATAGAAAAGGAATAGGGTTAGTAACAGCAAACAAAACCTAGTTCATAACAGTAAACACCAAGAAGACTCCTTTACACCCGTCGCTATGGAACATCGTACGGATATTCGATTCTGGAGGAACCTAAGGAGACGATACAGCTGATTAGTAAGATGAAAAATATATAAAAAAAAAAAAAAAAAAAAAATTAAATTAAATTACCTTGGATCGTATGTGGTTACGCACAACAGTTGTACGCGGAGTTAAGGGGCGTATGACAAGGGTTTGACCCTTCGTTTTGGACGTGGATGTGTTTTTTGTGTGTTGAAGTTTAAGTTTTTTTTTTTGTGTTTAAGTTTTAGATTTTTTTTTTAGTTTTTAGTTTTATTTTTTTAGTTTTATTTAGTTGCATAGATTTTTAGTTAGGAAAAAAAAAAAAAAAAAAAAAAAAAAAACATTTTTGTATTACTGCGCCGAAGAAGACTGCGATCAAGTGACCTTTAAGACTGACGCATTGGATTTTTCACAGGACGTGAAAAATTAAGGTGGAAAGAATTGCTACTGGCAAATCCATGTGCACCAGGAATCTAAGAATAATGCAGAACTCTGCACGTTGGACACACAAATCTGTTATGCAAGCGCTGTTGTACTGCAGTGCCCCGGGACCCGCATTTTCACCCGACGATCATATGCAAGAAACCTGCTCAAGCCAAGACCACTATAATGAAGCATTAAAGCAATGATCATATGGAAGCAAAGCCCCATCAACGATTCTATTGAAGCCAGAGACACTTACCTGATTTGATATGACAGCTGTCAAAGTAATATTACCTTGTTGGTAAGGTGTGTGGCTGTGAAAGTAAGAAGCATATAGGTTGCTTGAAGAGTCAAGGAATGAATCAATGGACTTAATGGGTAAAGAACGATGACGGCGTAGAAGCCTTCATTGAACTTGCCTTCTTTTTTGCCTTCTCTTTTGATTCCGTCAAAGCTTCAATAAAAATGGCTGTGAGTAAGGGTTGGGAATTAGACCAGAAAAGGGTCAAATGGCTTGAGTCAATAACGACTCAATGACAATCAATGGGAGGAGATGTTCGATCTTGTTCTATTTCTTGCCCTGTAATTTCGCTATAAATAAGAGGAAGAAATTCTTTTTGTAAAAGTAGGCAGTACCTTCTGAATTAGTACTTCACCGACTCTAGTGTATACAATTCGTCCTATATAAAATTTGTTAATAAAGTCCACTAATAAACTTAAACTTAAAACGTTCGTTAAAAACTGCATTAAATTACCTGCATACCAATACTTAGTAGGCATCTTAGACCGTGCCCAAATCATTATCCGCCTCACTCTTTACTAAGTGTGGTTATTCTTAGTCTTACCTATTTCACCTAACGACTAGCTGTCGTTTCCTTTTTGTTTGTGGGTGTGTGTGTTGGTCACTTGCCCGCTAACACTACAGATAGAAATGTATAATTCTTGAATAGCTTAATCTCAAATAAACAGAAGCAGAATTGTCGAATTATAAAAAAAAGAATATATTCTTAAAAACATATTTTATAACTTTTATTATAAAAGTTTTTTAAAATTATTAAAAATTTTTGAGTAATAAAACTTTAAAGTTTTTGTTCAAAAATTTTTTCTATTAAAAATTTTTCAAGAATCTTTAAGA